AAAGTTCACTTAAAATTTTGTTTAGCGTTGGTATTTCTTTTTTAAAAAAAAATGAGTGTATTTTTCTGCGAATGACATTTTTGAAGAAATCATCTATAACGACTTTTGACCTCCCTGTAGATGATTTTGGGGGATTTACAGTATCTTGTTCATTTTTTGTTTCCTTTAAAAGTCTGTAGATAGTCGATTTTCCAATCCCTGTCATTTTTGTTAGCATTAGTGTTACCCGATAATTACCTGAAACGAAATATTACCACGCCCATGGCCGGTTCTTATCTCGGGGTTTTATTACTCTCTTTCATTTCCAAATAGACTATAGGCAGATTGAAGAATTGAGTAAACATCTTGCTTTTACGGAAGAGGATATGCCAGGAAACATCTAGAGGAAGAATGTTCTAAAAATACATTTCCAGCTTACCTGCAAACTAGAGAGGGGGACATATAGGATCCAGTGGGCACATTGATTTCAGAGAAAACATTACACACAGGAGGGGAAGCCACAAACAAGTATCAGTTAAAATTGAGAAACTGCTTTTTGAAAAATATCAATCGGACGAACCCAGACAAGTGTCGGGCGGGTCCTCACTTACCTTGTTTCTGTGCAACTAGATGATATAGCTACAAACATGCTTGCCAAATTCTTCCACAGCAACCAGGATAATTCCAAAAAAAGAAATCATCAACCCTCTGAAATCCCATGTGCTGACATCTGTTCCAGGAAGCCATAAAACTAGTAAGAGATGTAACAGCACACCTATTACGAAGTGCCAAACTCCCGAAACTGAATCTGTTTAGTAAAGAAGTTGAAGCCGTCAAAGAACTGAAGGAAAATAAAGAAACTGCCATACTCGTCGCCGACAAAGGAACATGCTATTTGAACCTTTCATGCAACACCACAAGTAAATCGTTGGAAGTCTGGCAGGCCTCTTCATATGTTTGAAAATTTATTATTTAGATAACCCGCATTTCACGTCTATACTCAGGTGGAGCACCTTCGTGGATTGTCTTACATTTAAGGACATACCTTCAATAGTTCCAGTAAGTTGTTTTCCAGAAAATGTGTTGCAAGTCAGTCATTCGGTCAAAATAGTCCATATTAAAGCCTCGACTTACTGTATCTCTGATACTAATTTTTAGATCTTCTCCAACGTTATCTTAAAACATCCTCGACCTGTAACACTCTAGGTGGCCCATGATCTTCCAACATGTAAGTATCTTATTTCTCGAGCCCTTCTAACAATAAGGACAAACCTATGAGCTGCGATATGCAAAGGAAAATGCTCGACATGGGACTGGAATGCTATGACATCGTTTTGGCGCCATTCTTCGTATACTAGTGAGGGTTGTTTTCGCTGTACAGCAAGAAATAAACGCTCTCTCAACGGTAATAATGAATAATTTTATTGAAAACTAGTGTATAGAAAACTTGTGTATGAAAAGACGTGTTGACGGGGTGAGTGTTCGTTGGAGAGTGCTGGTTGAAGTCGGTCGTAGGTAGCTTGGTAGTCGGTGGCAGAAGTCCCTGCTTCTGGCGCCACTCTGCAGGGGTCGGCTTCTGGGAACCCCGTGGTGCGTCCGGCGGCGTTCTTCACGTTGTACTTAAAAATGGGTCACTTACAACATGTGTAACCACACTAGTAAGACAAAGAGAAAGCAAAAAAAGGAAACACAATTATTATATTAGTATAAGAATTGAATGTTATGATAAGATTTTTCACAGGTATTTCGAATTATTTCAAATCGCTTATCCGTTATTTTTAAGATTTTCAATGAATGTTATTTGAAAAATTTGGGTAATTGCTCAAAAATTGTCTTTCATTATATATTATGGGTGTGATTCAATGCTGGTTGGGTCTTTAGATCAGATAGCAGTTGTTTCCTACAATATTGCTAGTTAAAAGTTTTGTTTCGTCTTGTCCAAATACTAATCATCCTTTCATAGTGCCTGAGGATTAGCAGGTCACTCTCTGCCAGTAGATAGAAAGAAACGATTTGTGTCAATAGGCATTGAGTACCTAGCAGTGACATTTAAGATATAACACACTTAGGTATCTGGTATAGGTTATATCTCATCCACACTCCAACTATGTTTTTTTCAATCTTAGAAGGATCACAGAGTCCTCGGGATTTTTTTACAAACACGCTTTTTTTATTTTGGTAAGAAGAATCAGTCTTGAAATCGCAACGTCGCTGTTAGACTCTGTACTTAGTTCTGACTGATTCCGAAACTAATTCTCGATTCTAGACTTGCCTTACTTTGGTACCATACTATAGTCAGGCCATTCTACGCAGTGGATGGCAACAACGTCCAAGCAGGCGTAGACATAGCTAATGCCCTTCTTAAAGAATCTGACGGGGAATATGGAAAATCAGCCTTGTTTTTGTTCTTCGGTGGAAGAGTATCTAGATTGAATGTAAGTCCTGTCGGCTATTTTCTGTATTAATTCTAACTGATTAATTTTTTAGTCCGATATAAACTCTGCCCTGAAGTATTTTCAAGAGGCGGCAGAGAACGCAAATCAGAGGGAGATCAAACTTTTGTCGCTTCATGAGGTTGGTTGGTGCCATCTCATAGAGTTGGATTATTGTGCTGCTGAAAGTGTTTTTGCGTATTTACACACTTCGAGTAGATGGTCAAGGAGCTTCTACGCATATCTAGCAGCGATTTGTTCAGGTAATACCGTCCATTATTCTGCAGTTCTAAATATGTAATATGAAGTAGTCAGATAGCGTACTTGGTATATGATAATACCGTGAGATAAAGATGACATTTATATCACCGGGTACACCACTTGTCGTTGTCAAATATTTCTGGTTTGTTTTGATTTGCTATTTTGACTAGTGAAGGCTAGTAATATGTCCGAAACTATTAATTAAACGTACTGGAATAGTTACTATTTCTAGGTTACTGTTCTGTAATATGCAGTAAGTCCTAGATAATGCAGTGCTGTACAAATTGTGACCAAATATATAACCACCCGAAATAATCAAAAGCATATAGTCCACAGTACAGGCCCCCTCTAGAAAGTTGATTACCACATACTTTATAACTCCTGAGGAGCTTCGTTTTGACGAGTCTACCACATTTTTCCTCTGCGACTTTTCTCGATTCCTCCGCTTTTCCACTCGGAAAAGTCCAAAAACATGGCAATTTCCCGGGGTCTTGAAAACTCAAGACCACATCTTTTATTTTTAGCTTAAGTAACTGGAAATTTTGTTGCAAATGCCGATTTAAATTTGTCCGACAGAAATTCCTCCGACATTGACGTGTCTACCGGTCGAAACATGCCAAAATAACAGGGTATTGAAAATCAATTACCACATAGGTAATTTTTAGTAAAATTAATTGTAAATAATTAATTCAGTCAAAAAGTATTGTTGTCCGACAAATTTCAAGCCGCGTTTTTTCAGTCCGACAGCTGGAAATCGGAATTTTCACGGGGTATGAAAAATCGATTACCACATGTCGGACAAAAATAACACACGATAGAAAAGTGTTTTTTATAAGCAAAAATTGTAATGTCCGACAAAAATATATCCGCAAATCGTCAGTCCGACAAAAAATGATGAAAAAAATTTCGTAAAAAATGTGCACATGTATTTATAATTTCTAATAAGGTATTTTCATGTATTAAGCAAAATTCCATATAAATATACAATACAGGGTGTTTCAGAAAGACCTCCCGTAAATACAGGGGGTGAGGACGACAAAAAATAAGAATTTTTTGTCATATGAACTATATGTCTATCTCCTCTTCTCAAAGCTCAAGCTTACTTTGAGAAAAGTCACTTATTTTATAGTGTAATATTGTAAGAGTTTAATTAAAAGCCTTTTTTCTCGAAAATCGTCCACATTAGGAAGTTCTAACAAGAGTGCATTATTTTTAGAAAATAAAATTGTACAATAGAAATTAGAGCCCGACTGGTAAAAAACCTAACCTTAAAAAAAATATAACTTAAATTGTAATAAGAATGTAGCATAACTAGCGCTTTCTATGAAATATACAAAAAATAATTAGACTAGCGTATTTGGCACCCTTAAAAACCTCGGGCTACCAAATTTCATAAAAATATTTCGCACTATTTGGAAATTTTCATAAAAATGTTATTTAAAAAATTTTATTTTGTCTCTCTGTATCTCGAAAACAAGAGGAGATAGACATAGAGTTCATAAGACAAAAAATTCTCATTTTTTATCATACTATCACCCCCTTTATTTACGGGAGGTCTTTCTGAAACACCCTGTATATATTTTTCGTTTTATTCTTGTAATTGTAAATCTCTATATGCTCAATTTAGCCAAATAAATATCGAGAAAAGAATTAAACGATTTCAAAAAAGTATGTATGGTGTAAAAAAATTATGCACAAAAGTTTTGGGATTTTCTTTTAGAAAAATAGGAAAATTTTTGTAAAGAAAAATAACAAACGCGAATGAAAACTTGAAAGAGAAAAAAGGATTTTTATATCAAGTATAATATTAATTTATTTAGAAATAATGCATTATGCACTAAGATCGTATTAATCGCCTCAAAAATAACTTCATTTGTTTATAACTTTTAAATTTTTAAGCATAAAATAAGCAATATTATAATTATTTATTTGAAACAAATAATAATTTACATAATAATAATTAATAACCATTTATAAATATGAAATTTTTGGAGTGAAAAAATTAAATTTCATCACGTTTATTGATTTATTGATTTTTTAATAATTTGCGGACATTAAATCGTCGGACACTTATATCACTATTTTGTACAGTAAATTTAAAAGTGGAAAAAATGAAAATTAGATATGTGGTAATCGATTTTTCATACCCCGTGAAAATTCCGATTTCCAGCTGTCGGACTGAAAAAACGCGGCTTGAAATTTGTCGGACAACAATACTTTTTGACTGAATTAATTATTTACAATTAATTTTACTAAAAATTACGTATGTGGTAATTGATTTTCAATACCCTGTTATTTTGGCATGTTTCGACCGGTAGACACGTCAATGTCGGAGGAATTTCTGTCGGACAAATTTAAATCGGCATTCGCAACAAAATTTCCAGTTACTTAAGCTAAAAATAAAAGATGTGGTCTTGAGTTTTCAAGACCCCGGGAAATTGCCATGTTTTTAGACTTTTCCGAGTGGAAAAGCGGAGGAATCGAAAAAAGTCGTAGAGGAAAAATGTGGTAGACTCGTCAAAACGAAGCTCCTCAGGAATTATAAAGTATGTGGTAATCAACTTTCCAGGGGGGGCCTGTACTGTGGACTAATATAACTTGAAACATTTTGCATTAAAATCTTATTTACAAAAGCAGACTCAAGAAATCAAGATGCTAAGCACATTTTCTTAATATAATGAAGCAAAACAAAAATTCAAGAAAATAAATGAATTTTAATATCAACCAATCAGTTAATTAAAAGTCTGTGTTGGAAATTCGTTCTTCGAATCTCTAGGGGATTTTTCATGTCGATTACCAACACATTTAGTGAAATTTTAGTTTTCATTATTTTGTTCTAGTAACCATTCACAATAATGATTATAATGTTTTAAATTGTCAGTGTTGATTGATGATTATAATGTTTGTACTGTCGAATGTATCGTCCTCACGAGAAATTTTTCTGATAGGTACTAGTAGCAAATTGTTCTGTAATAATGTTGAGAACTTCTTCCACAATTTGTAACAATCGACTTGGTAAAGCTGCCTTTCTTAGCCTTCTACGTTTTTCCTTATCTTGAGGATTCTGAACCAAGTAAACAAATGTTCAGTGTTTGGGATATATCCTATTAGGACAGTGTCGCTCACGACGCAGAAATGCTTGTACAGCATTTTGACAACATTCCCCTTAAACTAAAATAATGTCCAGAAGTTCGTTATTACTGTATTTGTGTGCCATTTTATCAAAAATGTTTATCACTACTCGCTAGCGTAGCATTAGTATCCCATTGGATCAAAAGATGGAAGAAAATGAAGATGGTTGAAAAACTCAACCAATACTCTGTAAATGTATCATATTTATCATGAAACATTGTATTTCAAACAAAGAATTAATAATTATCTAAGATTTCCATATTTCTATTTTCAGGTGCTTGTCAAAATTCGTTAAGTTTCAACCTCTTCCAGGATCTACTGAAATGTGTTAGCAGTGCGTCGAAGATTAACCAACTAGACGAGTTCTTGAACAAACGATCGAAGCGTTGCCCTTCTGATTTCGAAGAAATTAAATCTAAGAGAGCTATTTACTGGAAACTACTTGTTTTCGAAATGTTATACCTTTGGAATGCCTTACCTAGCTGTACCACTAGTAACTGCAGTAAAATTATAAACGGTAAGATGTAAATTATAATCTTTGACTGCTTTGTCTTCAAAAATATTGACAAATATTATCTGTGCCTTTATAATTCTTATGATGGAAACGTTATCCTGTTTTAGATTGTGCGACTATCGTTGACTTGCAAAAAGACGAACCTATGAAGGGCTTGTCAAAGCTAATTCTGGGATGCGCTTATTGCAACTCCGGCCAAATCGAATTGGGAATTGAAAATTTCAGAAAATGCTTGGATATGAGACAAGGCTTGGCGCCAAATTTAGAAGATGCTCACATATCTGCCTTTGCTCAGTACGAGCTTGGAGCACATCTGTTAAGAAACGAAGAGGTAGTTTTTTCTTTAAGAAAATATAGACTTGTAGTAGTGACTATATCATTCAATTACCTACCGCGTTCTTATACTAATGTTACTAAAACCATACTAATGTTACTTTTCCTCATTTCAGACAAAACAGGAGGGAAAAACACTTCTGCAACAGATGAATCGATATAGTAAATACGATTTTGAACAGAAGTTAACTATTAGAGTCTATTCGTTGTTGAGGAATCTCAGTTAGACCAATTTTTTGACAATATAAATGGAAATATTTATATACCTAGAATCAGTTTTATATAAAATGTATTTTATATAATATTCGTCCTTATATTAATATAACTACGTCTATTGAAAATATTGTTATATTTTTACTGAAAGGATTAGTGGTCATCAATATACCTAATTACCATTAGAGGACTGTTGTCAAATATTTAATTGTTATACAGACTCGCTAATTTAAATCTACGTATGTAGATTATCTGATTGATATTATGTCATTCATTTTCTCAGTGTTAATATGAATATTGGATTGTTTTATTATAACTTATAGTGTGTCCCTCGACGGACCTAACCATAGGTACTTGTAATTTTCATTATTTCGCATTTTAAAGGACACACTATAATATACAGGGTGTTAAAAAGAGTGTAAAATATTTCAGGAGGTAATAGTATGAACCAAAATAAGCAGAAAAGTCTTAATAAACATGGGTCCGCAAAGTAACGGTTGCGGAGATATGGACCACTATTCGTTTTTCAAACATTTTATTTTATTAGGAATAAACCGACAAAGGAAGCTTTTAACAAACAAAAAACAAAGTTACAGAAGATGTTCAAAGTGCCCTCCGTCCATTTCCAAGCAGGCACGACATCTTCGTCTCAACGATATTCGAACTCTTTCGAAAACACCCTCCTTGGTTTGGATTTCTTGACACTTTTGATTAATCCGTAGCTGCAGCTCTTCCAGGCTATTTACAGGAGTACCATACACTAATGTCTTCAAATATCCCCAAACAAAGAAATCTAGAGGGTTCAGATCAGGCGATCTTGGAGGCCATAAAACAGGTCCGGCCCTTCCTACCCATCTATGTGGAAAAGTTTGGTGTAAATGCTCTCTAACGGCCATGGAAAAATGAGCTGGAGCACCATCATGCTGGAACCACATTTGTTGCCTCTGATTCAAAGGAATGTCTTCCAAAAACTCATACAGTGTGTTCTGCAGAAAGTTGAGGTAAGCAGCGCCTGTTAATCGGTTTGGTAAAACAACAGGACCTAGAAACCTGTCACCTACAATACCCATCCAAATGTTTAATGAAAAACGTGCCTGATGTCCAGATTCTATTAGAGCATGAGGATTTTCGTCGGCCCAAATATGCGTATTGTGAAAATTAAACACTCCATTTCTTGTGAACCCGGCCTCATCAGTAAAAAGAATGTTTGCAAGAAAACGAGGGTCTTCAGCATCATGACGTAGAAACCAGCGGCAAAAAACCAAACGTGCTTGATGATCATTTATTGGATTTAAGGCCTGTACTCGTTGCACATGGTATGGATAAAGCAGTTGCTCGTGAAGGATTCTCCAAACAAGAGGACCACTAATTCCTACCTCGGCTGATATTCTCCGCACACTCGTACCTGGATTCTGCTCTACCAGTGCTAGAATTTCTTCTTCTGCTCTAGGAGTGGATACCGACCTTGGTCTTCCGGATAAATGGCACTGTTTGCTCAAGGAACCGGTATCACGCAATCTTTGGTGAATTCTTCCAAACATGCGTTGTGAAGGAATCTGGCGATTTGGATAAGCGTCAACATAAAGACGTCGCGCTTCGGTGGCGTTCCCATTAGCACGACCATACATGAAATGCATGTCTGTTAATTCTGCGTTAGAGTAACCAGCCATAGCGAAAGAAAACTTGTGCACTGAGAACAACTGTCAAATACGTACTGTTTATTTCACTAAACATCAACCAACTATTATAAGAAAATACACAACGTTTTTGCAAAATAAAAAAAGGGGCTAAAAAACATAAAACATTCCATATCTCCGCAACCGTTACTTTGCGGACCCATGCTTATTGAGACTTTTCTGCTTATTTTGGTTCATACTATTACCTCCTTAAATATTTTACACTCTTTTTTTAACACCCTGTATATTGTAAAAGTTATAAAATATCTATAAATTTCTCTAAAATTATTTAATTTTGAACAGCTTAAAGTAATAACAACATTCTTATTTGAAAATGGTATTTGAAAGGTTTCATTTAAAGATATTAGAATTTTTAACACCATTTAAGTATACATATTCCAAAACATGTACAATATGTCACCCAGAGGTCATTTTAAACTTAAAAAGATCAAATTAGTGCCATGGTGATATTTTTAATTATAAAATATGCTCTGTTTAAACTTTTAAGTGTAATTAAACTAAATTTTGTATTTGATTATTACAATGCTCTCTACATGTGAACGAAAAAACTGTTCATTCGATGGATGTAAGAATTTTTAATATTTATTCGTGGTTTGCATCCGTCCATGTTATAATGTTTATGTAAGTATATTAAGAATTTCATTATTATCGGCAATTTAATAAATAATTTGTACGAATATCTTATTGGTGTTTCATTTACAACGCATGTAGTGATAAAATAAGCACCATCAAACAAATTATACAGGGTGTCCCATTTTAATCTATCACCCCGAATAACATTGCAAGATTTGTAAAGTTTTAACGATAATGACCTTGGTTTTGACCCAGAGGTCAAACGTAGGGGTCATGTGGAGGTCAATCTAAGAAGTTCAAATAGAAACCTCACTTGTTTGATCCAAAAATGGAAAGAGTGGGAAATTTTACGTTCAAAGACGATCTTGACCTCTAAGTTTGACCTCTGGGTCAAAATCAAGGTTACTATCGCACGGCCTCCTTAAAACCTTACAACTTTTGTTATGAAAGTTTTTCAGTTGGATGTCATCCTGCAAATTTATTCGGAGTGATCGATTAAAATGAGACATCCTGTATACTCCTATGGGATTAAGAATATTTCCTAAATAGTCCAGGGAACCAAGGGTTTTCCGAATTCTTTCGGATAGAACCGATTGACGTGAAATTTGGACTGTAAGTAAAAAATAGCTCAAGAAACAAAAGTTGTTGTATACATAGTGCTGATGAGCGCTTTTGCCCAGAGGGTGGAAGCCACTCCTTCTAGGGGGTGAAAAATAAAATATTGAAAATAACCCCAGCAATCGATATAGCAATCAATTTTAAGCAAGTGTACCTTATGAACATTTGTGTGAGTGATTGAAAATGTACATTTTTTATTAAAAAAGACCATTTTCAATAGTTGTTCTCGAATAACTCGGAAAATAGACATTCTATGAAAAAAAACTTCACGAAGAAAAAAGCTTATAGAAAAAGAAATAACTAAAAAAATTCTATTTTCCAAGAAAAATGTACAGCACGTTTTTTAAAGTACTTTAAAAAATCTTTAAAATGAACTTGGCTTTAAGTCATTAGCAAAAAAATTTAGAGTTATGATCAAAATAAAACGCTTTTTCGGAAAAAAATCAGTACCAAAAACTGATGAATGTTTCACTAGATTTAAAATTCAAGGTAATCCTTCTACAATTTACATTTTTTATGTGCTAACAATATATTATAAAAGTTTAAGCGGTTTAGTATGCATTTTTTTTATTTTTTTAATTCCAAAAAAACATATTTTTGAAAATAACTAAAAATAAAGAAGATACGAAAAATATTCAAGAGTAGAAAAGTTTATATATTTTTTTCACAGAACATTTTGGTTTTATTTTATTTGTGTAGGATAAAAATTAACAGAGATGTCGGTGCTAGAAGTTTGCAGTTGAAGGCGAAGGTCATGTTTTTCAAACCCTTTAACCAAAAATCTCAAATATAACGCTTTATAAATATTCAATTTTACAGTACTTTTAGCTGTCGAAATTTTCCGCAAAATCGTTTTTGAATCGTCTTTAAAATTAAGGAAGTTATCGTTAAAAAACCAACAATCAATATTTTGGTTACCCACAACTTTGGAGTATTCTATATACATAGAATACCTTCACTTTTTCCCTTTAATTTTTTAACAATTCTACTTATCAACTTTAAATGTATAAAAATTGTTTTCATTTGTATAATAAAGGATGATTTTTAAGAAACCCAGTGATCTGATAAACACTATAGGAGGACATTCATTTTAAATAACTTAAAAGCCATTTTTTTAGATTCTGTCAATGGTGGTGGTTTTTAAGGGTTAAAATAATACGATAAATTATAAATTGTATTACAAACAGGTAAAAGAATTTAATTTATCCTGTTTATACTATCAAATCATTTCAAATGGTTAAAAACTATTTTTTTATTATTAGGGGTAGTTTTTTAAGGGTTGAATATTGTAATAAATTATTTATAATACCATAAACTATTGAGAAGATTTATATCTATAATGTATGCGCTACAAAAATATTTTAAGGTCAAATAAACTATTAATTTTATATTTTTATCATTAAGGGTAGTTTTTAAGAGTTGAAACTTTATAAAAATAACGTAAATTATAACCCACAATATAAAACAATATTTATTCTACATATTAAGATATGATTTTATTCTGTATATAACACCTATTTTTATATTTTATTCAGTTTTTTAGCATAAGGGGTGTTTTTCATCTCCTAAAAATAAGAAGCGCATATCAAGCATATATAATTTTTGATCTACATGGTGAAATAAGCTTAATTCCAAATTTCCATAAAAACCACCTTATTTTTCTCTTCGTTCCCTGGACTAAAAATTCAACTTTTGGGCCAATAAAAAATATTACTGCATCTGACACTGAAAACGTCAAATATATTTTTTGTTGATTAATTTAAACTAATTTTATTTTTTTTTATTTAAAACAAACCAAAAAATTGTTCAACAATGGCTAGTGCTACAGTGGTCACCTTGCCTCAGATGGTAGATCTGGCCTTAAATTCTCCAGAGGTAAGAATAACATAACTATTTTTAAAATATTCAAATTCTTTTATGGTTTAGTTTTATTAAATTTTATTAGGTATGCGTGGGATCGTATTTGTTGTTTATGTAACTCCCTAAGTAGTTTCTTAAGATATGTGGTCTTTCAGTCAGTTTACAATGACTATCCGACCAGAAAAATATTCAACTTTCTACAACCAGTTGGATTTCCTCTTTATGAGAACTTTTTTATCATTGATATGTTGCGGTCTGTAGGTCGGTATAGTAAACTTCACAGTGCTGCATTCTCTACTGCACGTGATCGTGAAGCAACTGGACTTGGTAGACACCAACGTAGAATTTAGAGGTAGCGACAGCGAACGCCTTCAGAGCTATATCGCCAACGCAAAACCCGGTCCACTGCTGACTCTCACAGAATACACAGTGGGTGAGGAGGGGTCAGAAAAGGACGAAAAGAAGAAAGTTAAGAAAGGAATTCATGGAGCAGTCGTTGGTAAGATCTTACTTTCCTTTGAAACATGATAAATATTGGTTTCCAACTAATTGAATCGTATCTGTGATTAGAAAAGGGGAAGACAGATGAACATCAAACCGAGAAAGAGGGCCCGGGACATTGTAAGTAAATATAGTAATAAGTGAAAGTAAAAAATATAAAAATTGCTTTACAGCTGAATCACAAAACAAAGTCATCGTTGTTGAATCTTCGAAAGATATCGCTGGAGGACCTACGGTGGTAGTGACGAAACACCACTTCGACAAACTGGAGGACGACGTCAAGAAATTGCGCAAGAAAGTTAAGGAGCTCGCTGAGCTTCCCGCCAATTCGGCTTTACTTGAAGTTCTTAGGTGATGAATTCTTTTGTTCACCAAACCTTCTGGGATCCTAATTGAATAGTATACATATATTTGCAATCTTGTCTTTTTCAGAGGAGAAAACCCTGATAAAACTCCAGTCATTGAAATGTTCCAGATATTGAACCTTTCCAAACGTCTAGATGCTGCAGAAGTCGGAATGCAGAAATTAGCTAGCTTAATGGAGGACCTAGCCAAAAGGGGTATATAGCCTCTCTGATTAGTATAAGTTCTGCATTATTTTTACTGACGGCAGCTTCCTGTACCTCTAGGATCAGTTATATCAGCTGGAGATGTTGAGGAGTTCAGCGAAAAAGCCAAACAGGTACGGTCAAGTTTCGAGGACACCGCTCCAGCACTGACAGCTAGTACGCTCGCTATCGAAAAGAGGTTGGAGAAATTAGAGAAAGTTGTGTACGAGGGTCCCTTCGATAAAAAAAGGTCAGACACAGATGCAGACGCATCAGACTCAGATAAACCTCAAGCAGAAGCGAAATCAAGTCCAACCAACAAACCGAGTCCGACTGGCAAAGCAAGTCCAACCCAAAGCGACAAATTAAGCCCAGACAAAAAAACATCTCAGAAGCCTAGTGCACAAAGTAGACCCTCTAAACCGCATTCAGATTCAGATGATGGCGGAGTAGATGGGTAAAGTTATTATTAGAAGTTCGGAGACAAGTGAATCTTAACAAACCAGTCTCAGTTTACTGATGCAAATATAAACATATGGAAGATGTGTTGCAACACAATAATATTCATTTTACTTGTTATAGTAAGCTAAAATATGACTATTACCGAATAAAATGACACTGAAGTGTCATATTGATTATGTTGGAAGCATATCACTACAAGTTTTTTGAAGTTAAATTTTAACATTTATCAGTTAACAGTAACTTATGAAAGCGAAACGATTCTGTCTACTACTGCCAAACAGTGTGAGAAACTGTTNCTATTACCGAATAAAATGACACTGAAGTGTCATATTGATTATGTTGGAAGCATATCACTACAAGTTTTTTGAAGTTAAATTTTAACATTTATCAGTTAACAGTAACTTATGAAAGCGAAACGATTCTGTCTACTACTGCCAAACAGTGTGAGAAACTGTTGAAGTATACTAATATACAGTGTCCCCTAAAGTCGTGCATAAATTCATTATTAGGTAAACAAAAGAAACTATTAAAAATACCCGAAACAGGTCGATTTTTGAATTTAATTTACTATTTTTTCAAATAATAATTTAATATACAGGGTGACCTATGTTCAAGTAATAACGTCATCACAATTTTTTTTTAATGGAACACCCCACTTTTTTTCCAATTTTCGGATTGCCCTAACTGAGCTGATTCCAAAAATATACCACAAGTTGCTTCTAATTGTTACAGGGAGGACAACAATACCCAAATTATTTACAAATACTAAATTTATTTACAAATAAATAAACGTACTAAAAATTGAATCAAATCACCAGAAACACCTAAATTAAATGTTCAAATTGTTGACCATTTACTGCCAAACAATGGGCCAGACGGGAAGTAAATTCTTGCTGTACATTCCCAATGACTTCAGGCGGGATCGCTCGAACTTCTTGCCGAATTCGTTCCTTCAGATCGTTAATACTGTTTGGTTTATTGACGTATATTTTGCTTTTTACATAACCCCAAAGAAAAAAGTCGAGCGGTGTTAAATCTGGTGATCTGGCGGGCCATTCCTTAGGTCCTCTTCTGCCAATCCACCGATGAGGAAACACGTCATCTAAATAGCGGCGAACAGCGCTGGCATAGTGCGGTGGTGCACCATCTTGCTGAAACCAAATGGTTTCATTGGGCAAATCTGGATCTTCTTCATTTGGAAATAGAACACTCAAGGAAGGAACTAAATGGAACTGAAGAAATTCCAAATATCTTGCACCATCTAAATTTCCTTCAAAGAAATACGGCCCCAAAATTCGATTACCAACAATTCCGGCCCAAACATTGACCTTTTGGGGATGCTGAGTGTGTGCTTCCATCATCCAATGTGGATTGCGATCTGACCAGTACCGACAATTCTGTTTATTGACGGTGCCATTCAAATAAAAAGACGCCTCGTCGGAGAAAATTATGCGTTTCACAAAATCCGGATCTGCCTGACATTCTTCCATCATCATTTCGCAAAATTCTGTGCGTCTGTCGAAATCATCGTCACATAATTCTTGTACTAAATGGACTTTGTAGGGATGATACTTGTTTCTGTGAAGAAATCTACTCAATGTACTTTTACTCATTCCTAAATTATCTGCTACGACTCTCAGACTGGATTGCGGGTTTTCATGAATGGTTAAAAGGGCTTGTAACTGCACTTCTTCATCTACTGTCGGGCGACCAGATCTGGACATATCTTTAACATGACCATGATTTCGAAACTTTGCTTCAGTTCGGCTAACCGTGGATCGATTTATTGGTGGACGATTGGGATGAATTTCATTAAACAAAACACAAACTTCCTCATGAGTTCGAACTCTATCACCATATCCGATCATCATAAGAATCATGTTTTTTAATTAATTCAAAAATACTCAATATTTTAAGGAAGAATCATTCAAAATGGATTTACTTGTACAATCTTAACAAACAATTTAAAAATGATTGCCTGCAAGAAATACACAAGCACGTTCTATCAGGCAGAAAAAATTAAAAGCATCAAAGAAATTATAGCAAAAAATAATGACATTTTAAAATGATATGTGGTGATTTGATTCAATTTTTAGTACGTTTATTTATTTGTAAATAATTTGGGTATTGTTGTCCTCCCTGTAACAATTAGAAGCAACTTGTGGTATATTTTTGGAATCAGCTCAGTTAGTGCAATCCGAAAATTGGAAAAAAAGTGGGGTGTTCCATTTAAAAAAAATTGTGATGACGTCAGTACTCGAACATAGGTCACCCTGTATATTAAATTATTATTTGAAAAAATTAAATTCAAAAATCGACTTGTTTCGGGAATTTTTAATAATTTCTTTTGTTTACCTAATAATGAATTTGTACACGACTTTAGGGGGACACTGTATTTGGTAGTATAGTCTTCCCGAAGTCAGTTGAACATGTATAAAAAAGCCATCAGATTCATAGGCGTCCCTGCTGAAATGCAAATATTATGTAAAAGTTTGAAACAGTCGGTTTAGTTAAACAAACGAAAAGAAAATTGGGAGAATACCGAGTACGAATAATTAGCAACTGATAACTAATTATTATTTTTTTACCAGCGATGAAAATGTGGGTATGGCCACAAGCTCAAGTGTTGCAGCATTACAGCAAGACCTAGCGAAACTTAAGAAAACAGTCAATGCTATGGTGGACGATATAGATGGGATAAAGAAATTATTGTCAAGTAAGCGCTGATTTGATCACTGAAACGATAGAAATATTTCCTTTTTTTCAGACAATACGGAGGGTGAAAATTTACCGCCGGAATTGAGGCTGAATCAGTTAGAAAACAAACTCATCGACTGCCAGGACCAGCTTACTTCTTTGGATCACATGTTTTGCCGCCAGGTCGAAATTCTGCAAAAGAGGATAGTGGATCTGGAGAAAGACGCTGGTGAAATTGTAGAGAAAGTCAACTTGGGGTAATAAGAATTTTCTTAGCGTAGTCTGCAGGCTTCCGTAGAAGTAAAGTTCATCAATTTCTGGTCTGGTTGTCGTGTTGTCAGCTGACGTTTTGGGAGGCGTATCTTCTTCAGAGGAAACTCTAAAAACGGAGGTCAAGTGCTCTGGTCAATATTTATATTCGCTTAAATACCGGCCAGAGGACTTAATCTTCAGTTTCTGCGTTTCTTCTGACATGGCAACCAGTCCGAAAATTGTTCAACCAATAATTTTCGTAGGTTGACCAATGCGGAAACCTCTCAGCCCGAGGGACAATCTGTTGGAGAACTGTACAATAAATTATTGCAGACTCAAGATGTGATAACCACAGTGGGGGAAACTTGCCAAAAGCTCTTAGAGGACCGAGAGGAAAAACAACATACTTTGGAGGTACAGTTTACTAATTTATTACTGCAAATATTAATCAATTTTCTTGCTTCACAGATAATGTTGGAGCAAATAGAGTTACTCAAAACTGTCAAAGCAGATAGGGAGGACTTAGAAGACGCGCTTGCAGATAAAGCGGATGCTTGTATGGTGAACAGGAAGGTCTCTGTGGAACAATTCGATGCAGCCTGTGGAGACATGAACAAAGCCATTGAAGATTCCTTGGGCAAACTTGCACAACAAGTAAGATATAATCTGTTACACGTCTTAGTCTTAATTGTATACAATTCTAGGATATATCCTAGAGTATTTATACTACGTTATCCGCATGTTGACAGCAAACATATATTTTAATGGTTTTTGTCTTCTGTGTAGGAAGAATTATGGGCACAAGCTCTGGAAGACATTCAGAAAGAAATTGGCAACAAAATGGACAAAGTCGAACTGGTTCCACTACGAGACTATATAAATAAAAAACTGAAAGGCTTGCAAGAAAAGTTTAAGTCACTAACAGCATTGAGGAAGGAAAATGAAGCTGCTGGAACAAAGAGTAAAATAATGAGGTAAGTATATCTTTGTCCTAGGTACAAACCATTGGCATCTTTCGTAGATCCTTCACTTCACCCTTTTTATTTTTCTCTATTTCTTGATTCTGTCTATAAAAAAATTACCTTTTGCCTTCAAGGCTTACTTTGATAAGAAACTAATGTTCAAGCTAAAATCCAGGTATGTCTTCCAGAAATGTGAACTGCATTTCCTGCGACAAAGACGTTGTGATGCGAAAAGAGATTGACTCCAGTTTATTCCCGAAGGCGTACGCTCTTCCCCCAACCAGAAATATGGCACCCTACCTGGCGTACGAGCTAGATCAACTCAGGAAACAACAGAAACAGTGAGTTTAATATTTCAAACGGCTTACAATACTTAATATTGTTATGGTATTACAAAATTTAGAAAAAAATTGATTAGAAAAATAGAGATAGAGGAAACTGAATGCAATTTATCTGAGCAAAACTAGTTGACCTGGGTGGGGGAATTATTATTTTAAAACAGGCTAAACTTGTGGTATAAGTTGATAGTACAACTGAGTTCTTCAACACCAAAATAAGTGCTAGTACTACATGTCTTGTCATTCTTATTCTAGATCCACGATTTTAATAAACTTTAAATTTCAGTATTCCTCCCAAGAAGGATTTAAACATGTTCGAAAACGCTTTGAAAACTGCCAAATCCCCCAAAGGGTAAGTGATATTTTGAAACAAATCGAATGACATAGACAATTTCTTCGGAAAGAGCAACTTGTTAAAGCAACTCTGAGTCTCTTTGATCTCCAAATTCCTTCTCAAGTCTATTCAAGAGACTCGAAAGCTTCCCAATAACATTTTTTAATCAACTTATTTCTGTTCCAGTCCTGATCATTTGTGTAATCGTTACTGTGGCGGAAGCCATACAGTGACCACTCCCCAACAAAGGGTCACGAGGTTGGGTCATTTCTTGGAGCAATGGGGCCCCGAGATTGCTCCTGCCAATGACACAATGATTCGTGGAAGTGATGGTCACGTAAGTACTATGAGTTCAGATTGCTGCTTAATTTAGTTGTCAGTTTATAATGGAGATTATAACTGTTTAGATGTATAAAGGAAGAGACGACAAAGTTGCATTTGCGATAGCTGATACGATGCCTCCCGCTACTATACCAGAAGAAGTGCCAGCTAGTCCTAAGAATGTCCTTCCAGGATCTCTGTGTAAGATAATATTGTTCAATTAAATAGTAAGAGTAAACATAAATTCATGATTGCGTTTAATTATATACTATTTTTTTTTGTAATTAAACCACAAATATTTACGTTTTGCTGATCGTAGACATTTTAGAACGCAATAAGGAACATATATTACTAAGTTAAACGTGGTATTAATTAAAATGTGATTGTTTTCAGCTCAAGCTAAAGCCGAGGGTGAACCAAGTAAGTTTTAATTATTAGATATATGTTTGAACTAACACTGATAATCTTTCTTAGGTCAAACTGTAAAGAAGACGTCGCTTCGAAGTCGTAAGTATTAGAAACAAAATATATTTAGATGGCGAAGTGCGAAAATTCGATTGGCAGGAATATTTTGCAAATAGACAATTTTTTGTCTATGTTTTTTGTCATTCTCATTTAATTAGTATATCAACTGGACTTTAAATCCATGATACTTTTCTGTACGAATCAACTTTACAACATATGATTGGTCCACATTGTTGTTTAGGGCTAGTTGTTTTGTTGACGATGGGGATTTTCTTCAATTTCCAGCAATACTTGTACTTGGTTTCTTCAGCATTTTGAGGTCGATCTTGTCGTGTCCTATCTCTTATACACCTAGTCTCTGTAAACTTGGCGACCAATTTACTCACAGTAGATCGTGTAATTGGTGGTTTGTCAGCATGTGTTTGATTAAACAGCTCACATGCTTCCGCATGGGTTCGTAGCTTATCACCGTATCCAACCATCATTCAGATCTCTATTCTTTCAAGTTCAGTTAAATGTGCCATTCCTTCTAAGCTCCAAATTCAAAAAAATTCAGTGATAAATTTACGAAGTTTAATAAGGCTATATAACGTATTAATTTGTGAAAATTTCACCCTACAACAGTGGTGTTTTTGTTTCTAAGCAACGGCTTTTAATAATTTTTACCTACGACCACTACTGTAAATACTTAAAAACACACCGTCTGCGATCAATGTAAGATTCTTATTACGTACGGTAAAAAAATCGCACAGTTTTCCTAGCNCGACAAAGTTGCATTTGCGATAGCTGATACGATGCCTCCCGCTACTATACCAGAAGAAGTGCCAGCTAGTCCTAAGAATGTCCTTCCAGGATCTCTGTGTAAGATAATATTGTTCAATTAAATAGTAAGAGTAAACATAAATTCATGATTGCGTTTAATTATATACTATTTTTTTTTGTAATTAAACCACAAATATTTACGTTTTGCTGATCGTAGACATTTTAGAACGCAATAAGGAACATATATTACTAAGTTAAACGTGATATTAATTAAAATGTGATTGTTTTCAGCTCAAGCTAAAGGCGAGGGTGAACCAAGTAAGTTTTAATTACCAGATATATGTTTGAACTAACACGGATAATCTTTCTAAGGTCAAACTGTAAAGAAGACGTCGCTTCGAAGTCGTAAGTATTAGAAACAAAATATATTTAGATGGCGAATTGCGAAAATTCGATTGGCAGGAATATTTTGCAAATAGACAATTTTTTTCGTTTTAATATTTACTGACTTACCACACTGTTACCAAAGATTAGGGAAAGGAAAGATCACAAGCACTCCGACTAATTATAAGGTGACTCCATTTGTAGTTTCAGATGTATTTGCATTAAGGGATATTATTCAGAAATTAAAGGGCACTGAATTTGGACCAACAGTTTTCTCCTCGTTAATAACTTTTTCGCAAAAATTCAGAGGAGTGAAGTCAGGGAAATGTGGGGGTCACTAAAGGGATCCTCTCCGCTCTGTCCACCTTTTAGGAAAGGTATCATTAAGATATTGCCGAACCTCTAAGCCAAAGTGAGGTGGAGCTCCATCTTGTTGAAACCAAATATTTTAATGAGGTTTGCAGCATTGGGGAAAAGAATTGCTACAGACGGTCCAACTCAAAACGCAGAAAATCTAAATATCTAGCAGCAGTGAGGTTTTATTCAAAAATGTAAGGACCTAAAAATCTCCTTCCTATGATTCCCACCCATACATTTAATTTACCTTTACGCTGACTGAAATGCTTGCGCCCAATGGAGATTATAATTTGACCAATATCAATAATTATGGCGATATACTGAGCCATTTAAACAGAATGTGACCTCGTCAGAAAAAATTATGTTGCTTACAGAGTTTGCATTTTCACCACACGTAACATTAATTGTTCACAAAAGTGCAACCGGCGGTCTGGGTCATTCTCATTTAATTAGTATATCAACTGGACTTTAAATCCATCATACTTTTCTGTGCGAATCAACTTTACAACATATGATTGGTCCACATTGTTGTTTAGGGCTAGTTGTCTTGTTGACGATGGGGATTTTCTTCAATTTCCAGCAATACTTGTACTTGGTTTCTTCAGCATTTTGAGTTTCACCTAGTCTCTGTAAATTTGGCGACCAATTTACTCACAGTAGATCGTGTAATTGGTGGTTTGTCAGCATGTGTTTGATTAAACAGCTCACATGCTTCCGCATGGGTTCGTAACTTATCACCGTATCCAACCATCATTCAGATCTCTATCCTTTCAAGTTCAGTTAAATGTGCCATTCCTTCTAAGCTTCAAAAAATTCAGTGATATAGGACCCCGCACTTTTCTTATGTAAAAGTGGTTTCAGTTAAATTGGCTGAAATTTTTATATGTTACAGCTCTTAACCTGTCGATCAAAAGTCTCCATTGGCACAATGTCCTAAAGTTCATAGTTTTTGAGTTACGTTGACTTTAGAGCAATAACTCTGTATTCGAAGTGGTAAAAATTTTATTTGATATTTTTTGTTGTTTACGTTTGCATTACCCAAGGTGTACCACGTGGAGGTTGCAAAATCGGTCCAACACCTCTTTGAGGTGGCTTTTTTACCGTAAGGTCCCCTTGCCTCCCACTATCGGAGTGTCTTTTTTACCGTGACTTCCCCTTGCCTCTCACTAATCTTAGTACGTCTAGATGAATGTATTTTATTTTCATGGATCATCACCAATTTCTATGTTATTATATCTGTTGAGACTATCATTAATATAGTTTAATATTGCAATAACTCTGTATTCGAAGGGGTAAAAATGTTATTTGATATTTTTTGCCGTTTGGATTTGCATTACCCAAAGTATCTTTTTTGCCGTGGCTCAAAAACTACTTGTACGTGTGAAAATGGTTGAGTTTAACTCTAAATCTTGATTTGATCAATGCCTACATTAATATGAGACAGATAATATGCATGCATAAAAGAATAATTAATAAAATATTTAATTTTTTATTGCAATTTACAAAAATCCAATAAGTTTTTATGCCATCAACTAGGTTAGTTGTAACGGATATCTGCAGTCGAAAGAACTACTCGCAGTTTGGGTTTGAATCTTAAATAATTTTCATGTTAGCAGATACATAAGTACTATATGTCATTTTTCTCCATGACAACTGAAAAAATAATAAATCATTGTAGTTATATTAATATTGGTAATGTGACTTCACACTGAAAAACTAGTTGTTTTATGATATTATGGGTGTAAGTGCCAATGAAACGCAAATTGTTACGAAATCTAGGAGGGTCGTAGAGAGTAGAGGCGCATTAAATCAATTTTTTGGTATTATTCCGACAGCTCATATGCTCCATCTCGCAGATGTTTACAAAATAGCTGGCGCAATAATTAATAGATTTTGTGAATTGTTAATAATGCAGGGTGCTACTGTTCCATTAGCAAGAGAATTGTGTCAAAGAATTAATGATGTGAACGTAGTTCAAACTCGAGTTGTAGTCGAAAATCTCTTTAGAAGAAATGTTATATGGAACCAACTTAAAGAAAATCATGCTAAAAAATTTCCTAGATTCGACCTCGATTATTTACATAGGATAACCATTGGTGTTTACCAGGTTGGTTTAGCTCCATCTTACATTCAAGATAAGCTTGATTTAGAAGGAACAGAAGTATTGCAATTCGACGAACATGTTCTAGAACCAGGTTTTCTACGGATCAGAATTTACTCACTTTTCCGGAATGCAATGAAACATCAGCTGTGGGTATCTTATGCTACTGAACCAATGTAAACGAACAGCCCATTCTCGGATATTATTGCACTTGTAAAACTGGTGCAAGAACAATAGGTTGTTTTGCTCACGTAGCCAGCGTGTTGTGGTATTTGGGTTTTGCGCGATATCAACAAAATATACATTACCCCAATGACGCAATATTAAACTATATTAATGATAGTCTCAACAGATATAATAACATAGAAATTGATGATATTGGATCCATGAAAATAAAATACATGCATCTAGACGTATTAAGATTAGTGAGTATGGGGAACTCACGGTAAAAAAGACACCCCGATGGTGAGAGGCAAAGGGACCTCACGGTAAAAAGATTACCCCAAAGAGGTGTTGGACCGATTTTGCAACCTCCACGTGGTACACCTTGGGTAATGCAAAGGCAAACAACAAAAAATATCAAATAAAATTTTTACCCATTCGAATACAGTGTTATTGCTCTAAAGTCAACGTAACTCGAAAACTATAAACTTTAGGATATTGTGCAATGGAGACTTTTGATCGACAGGTTAAGAGCTGTAACATATAAAAATTTCAGTCAATTTAACTGAAACCACTTTTACATAAGAAAAGAGCGGGGTCCTTTACGAAGTTTAATAAGGTTATATAACGTATTAATTTGTGAAAATTTCACGCTACAACAGTGGTGTTTTTGTTTCTAAGCAACGGCCTTTAATAATTTTTATCAGTGACCTGGAAGCTTACAAAAAGAATCATAATTTTTATTGCTAAACTTGCAAACTTTTTCGTTAATTATTTGCATTTGTTTCATTTCCAAGTACAATTTCTTTTATGAAAAATGACATTACATAATTTTTTGAAATAGATAAAGTGAAAACCTCGCATTCGTGGGAGAAATTTTCCGACTCGATTTTTTTGCATATTCAGATTAGCGAGATGTTCCTTAACATTAATCAAGATGATGCCGGCCGGAAATCTGGTGCCCATTTGTTTCAACAAACTTTTTTTGAACAAATTATAAAAATTGGTTTTTTCACTCCTAGGTTTTTTGGCACATTATAAACAAAAAAGTTCCTATGCACTATGCCTCTAAAATTTATAGTTTTAAAGTTATAAATAATTTAAGTACAAATGCGAAAATAACGACAGATTTCCGGGTTAAAAATTGTTATTTTTGATGTTTCCGGTACCTAAATTAAAGTTTAAACACCCCTTTACAAGATGCTGAATAGTTTTGGGNAATTGATTATTTAAATTTCATAATTCATAATAATTTTATTTAATTAATTCAAAATTGTACGAATAGAGTGCAGAAAAAAATAAAAGGGCAATAGTATCAAATACATTTGATTTTTATTAAAGAACATTTATTTAATACTGCATTTTATTATTATTATTATTATCACACATTTATTCAATCATAAAAATTCTCACACTGTTCTATGTTACAATCACATAAAGGTACATAAGTGACATAGTTTTTCATACATATGCAAACTTTAGTCTTACAGTTTTTTGTACATTTACATTGTTTAACAAGTCTTTGCGTAATGGATCTTTGGTAATAAATTTAGGTAATAATTCACCTGTTTCATTTTGATAACCTAAAGCTGTGAAATCTAAATATTGATATTGAGGAAAAATTGAACTTTTCCATATGTACTTTTGTAAAGATTTCAATGCATCGGAAGTGCATGTTGCAAATTCACGTATTGGAGAAGCGCGCGCGGCTCATAGCGCATTATTCACAATTAAAAAACAAGGCTTCAAAATAATGAGAGTCCCAAAAACTCTTCAGCATCTTGTAGGGGGATGTATAAACTTTAATTTAGGTACCTGGCAACATCAAAAATAACAATTTTCAACTCGGAAATCGGCCGTTGAAAATCGTCTTTTTCGCATTTTTAGCAACTTAACTTGTTTATAACTTTAAAACTATCAATTTTAAAGGCATAGTGCATAGGAACTTTTTTGTTTATAATGTGCCAAAAAACCTAGGGGTGAAAAAACAAATTTTTACAATTTGTTTAAAAAAAAGTTTGTTTAAACAAATGGGCACCAGATTTCCGGCCAGCATCATCTTGATTCATGTTAAGGAACATCTCGCGAATCTGAATATGCAAAAAAATCGAGTCGGAAAATTTCTCCCACGAATGCGAGGTTTTCGCCTTGTCTAAAATAAATGTTATTTTCTCGCAATATCTCGCTTGTTATTTGAGATAGACCCCTCAAACCTTACATCACTATATTCGTAAAAGAAAGCTTTATTGGAATATGAAAAAATATACGGGGTGTTTCATAAGAAAATACAAATTTCTTGGCCCTCCATCTTTTC